TAATATTAAAGTATTATATTTAACTATTTCAAAATATTTAACAAAAATAATTTATAAAAATAATTTATATTTAAAAATATATAAATTTATTATTACTTATAAAAAAACTTATATAACTTGAGCAAGAAAATATTTTAATATACATATATAATTAATTTAAAAAAAAATCGAAATCAGATTCATTCAAACTTTTATTTTATCTTTATATAGTGCAAAATATATTTATATTGTATTTTTTTTTTCAACTATTTATATTTCACTTTAAAAAATTTTCGAAACACTCTGTATATACTGTACATACAGTATTTAAAAATACATATTTATATTTGGCTTTTGTCAAAATAGAATAAAAATTTTGATATTTGATATTAAAATTCTAATATCTTTTTTTATTTTATATTGACATATAGAAAAAATCATAATCAGCGCCTTCAGAGATAATGATTCTGAATAATGAATTCGAAAAATAATTATTTTTCTAATGCTGTTTAATATTGCATAACAGTAAAAGATTCTAAATAAGTTATCTATCGATTGCCCTATTTTGCGAGGCGTGTCCCACTTGTATTACAAAAAATTGCGTCAAAGTCGGTCAAACACTTTTCAGTATATCAATTACCCTTCACTAGCTTTTTTCGACCTCAGCTTGAGAATGTACAGTATATTCTCAATAGTTTACTGGTTTCACCCCAAATTTAATGTTGAACCGAAAACTTACCTTTTCTTCTCAGAAACGGTTACTATAGCAGTCGCTATTGGGATATTTATTTTATTTATTTTTACGTGAATTATAAATTCAAGTGATTGATAAAAATTAACTACCCATATTGTGTGATATGTACAATCATGCATCATAAAATAAAGTTTTGACAATATTGTGTTAGTATAGTACAGTAACATTAAATATACTGTATCTATCACGAGTTTTGCAATGGCATATCCTTTATTGGATGTCTTTTCTTTCTCAAACCACGAATTTTAGATATTGTGTGGTAAGTAGAACAGGTATCACACACATGATACACTAAATGTGGTAATAATTAATATAGCTAGATGTAGAAGTTCTGCGTAATGTGCTGTGCATTAAAATTGGCATTCCTTATTTGGCAGATATTTTGAAGTTCTTGCTTTTTTCCGCAAAGATGACTAGATTTGCCACACACGCAGTTAATAAATTGGAGTATTACAATTTCGTTGTCATAATGAAAGACAGTAGTGGCGACTCTGTGCGTAATCAAAGGTTTATTCTAGAATGAGAATGTTGTGTATGCATTGGTTGACATTATAAATAGAGCTTCCATTCGCGAAATTATCTTAAAATAAAAATGTTGTCCATTTTGCGCAAACGTAAAACAGACAAAAAATCGGCCTCGAATCCTACTGCTCCTGTCAGTACCATTAAGACGAAAAAGAAAGCGAGAAACAAAAAACAGCGACAGGAAGTTAGTGAAAAGCATAAGACCATTGTTTTCGCGGCCACCTCTAATTTAGAAAAGGCGATTCAACGGACAAAGGAGAAGGTCGCAATGGTAATTTCTGGTTTTGAAAACTATTCCACGTGTCAAATCATTTCGGTGATCACTTATGTATCGATTTGCATAGATCGCCCAAGAACACAGAGAACAAAATCGTAAATTTCGCGATCGAGAATTCGATTTGTTTGTAAACCCTATGGATTGTCTTTACAGTCTTGCCAAAACACCCTATAATCACACCGGTGTTAGACGCGTATCGAAGATATTTAAAAATCCTCAATTTTTCATTGACGGAGTTGAGCCGAATGATATTAAACAAGGATCAATTGGCGATTGTTGGTTTGTGGCCTCGCTGGCGGTAATCACAAACATTCCAAAGTTAATAGAAACCATTTGTGTTGCAAGAGATGAAGATATTGGAGTCTACGGATTTATATTTTTTAAGGTAATTGTCAACATTTTTTTTTTCTAATGTCGGAAAGACGATAATATTAACCGATTTACCGCATCGTGCAGGATGGCGACTGGGTTTCGACTGTCATTGATGATCAACTATTTGTTAACGGGAAGGATAGCAAAGATTGTTGGAAATTAACTTTCGCGTAGGTATCCAAAAGATGGGCGTCTTTTTTAAATTGTTACCCTTCGTTTTCAAAAACTTTTTTTGCATGCGCTACAAAATAAACATAATAGAGAATGTTCCAATGAGAATGAAACGTGGCTGCCCTTGATCGAAAAGGCTTACGCGAAAATTCACGGAGATTATGAAAGCATCAGTGGAGGTTATATTGGTCAAGGTATGTTTATTTGGCTTGTTGATATATGAATAATATAGAAAACTTACCAACATTTCCTTTCTTATAACACATATAGGCATCGAGGACTTAACGGGAGGAGTATATACGGCCATCTTCATATCCGACATCTTGGACAAGGATAGGTTCTGGAACGAGGAGTTAAAAAAAGTCAATGTCGATGTGCTGTTCGCCTGTCACCGTTACACTGACAATAATATAGATTCCAAAGGAATTATGTCTAACCATTCCTATAGCATTTTACGTGTTGCTGAGATTGAAAATGGCATTAAATTAATATTGATTCGAAATCCGTGGGGAAAGAGCGAATGGACCGGTAAGTTTTTCTTCGGTACAGCTGTTTTCTTTGGCATACCGTCTACTCATCTTTATCCAAATGGATCTACAAACTAGGCGCTTGGAGTGACGGTAGCAAGGAATGGACTTCCGAACGTATGAAACTTCTAAATCATCGGTTTGGAGATGATGGTGCATTCTGGATGACCTATGAAGATTTCTTAGAATATTGGGATGAGATTGATAAGTGTAGATTATTTAATTCCAGTTGGACGGTCTATTCAACTTGGATCAACTATAATGTTGTTCCAAGATCTCAGGGAAAATTCATTCTCACAGTTCCAGAGGAAAGTGAATTGGTAATTGTACTTCAACAACCTGACGATAGATATTTTAGCGATCTGCCAAAGTTCGAGTATGTGTTTTCAATTTCATTCACAATTTACAAACTTCGTTCGCGACCCCAACCCAAAACGAAATGATGAGGTTTATTTATTTAATTATTCTCTGCACCCATCAAATAGATATCAACTCAGCTTCCGTATATACGAAAAAGGAAATAGTGTATATCTCATCAGAAGCCGTCTGACGGTTCCATACGGTCCTCGGAGCATCAACCACGAGGTCAAGTTACCCGCTGGTACATATGAAATCGTTCCTCGCTTATATCGCGAACCGATCATCGAAGTGGAAGAACACACTGAACCAGACGACCCTGCCAATGAACAAATTAGTCCTGAAATGGAGGAATTGAAACTGATCTCCAAAATGCGCAAGTTAAATAGAGCCAAGGGGCTTGCGGATGGGAGGGATTTGAATGATGATACAGACGATGAAGAAGAGGAGAGAGAGGTTGAAGATGAATGGGAAATATCGCTTGGTCTCAGGGTGTATTCAAAGAACGTAGGGTTGACTTTGGAAGGTGATCCTGGAGAATTCCCTGATAGAGAAGATGCGAAAAAAGATGACGAGAAGAAAGATGACGCAGATCCGGAGGTTGATACCAGAGCTACCGAAGACAACATTGGTGGTGAAAAGAATGAAGACGAGGAGTATGCGTAAATGGTGATAAAAAATAGACGAAAAAATCGAAGAGACAAAATAAGAATGGATTTCTCTTTATTGGGATATATAGTAGAAACAGTATATTCATTTTTGTACAATTGTGTCTCATATTCTGTTTGCATATCTTTGTTTGCATTATTAAATTATGAAATGATAATTTACAATTTTACAATTTATTTTTGTGATGGAAATTTAAATAACGTTAAACATTGCATTCGACGGCAAGCGCTAAGAATAAGAACAAAAATGTACTGACAAACATTGCACATTTAAATCAAAGTTCCTTCAAAGCGGCAATATATTCGCGTTTGCTCGTCATTTTTGTATGTTTTAAGAAAGTTGTTAACTTGAGACAAAAACTATAATCATCACACAGGCCACCACTAAAATAATCACCAACCAACATATGAATAAGGCAAAAAGTATTTTTTTCTTTGTCAAACGTCGCCCTGTTAAGTAGAGGTGAGAGGTCAAGAATATGATGAGAAAAAAAAAAAAAACGGACAAACGAATTATTACTGTAATTCTTTTTAATATTCACGAAGCGTAGACTTTTCTTACCCCTCTTTTTTCCTGATTCCTAATAATTCACGTGGTTATTGAAAGTTTGAGTCAGTTGAGATTAATGACAAGAGGACACGAAAGATGGTTGTATTTATAATAGTCTGCTTACCTCTAGACAAGGGTTGGAAGAATCGAGTACGAGTAGATGAGATTTGAATTGGATTAGCAAAAAACCAATTAATTTAAGAATGAATATTTCACCAAACGAAAGCAAGACTCACCATCAGCCAAAGAGTAAACCATGGAATCGGTTGGATAGGACATGCCATCAGCAGAAAAGTACACGCTTCTTGATCCATTACCACTTTCGACTCCGTTGTTGACGCCAGCGTCTTGCACATAAATTACATCTCCCTTTTGACCTCTGTCACCTTTCTCGCTGTATCCTTTATTTACTTCTTTTCCATCCACATTCCAATTGTTCCTTTCACCTCCAACTTTTTCAATCTCATAAATCTTTATTTCTTTCTCGATCATATCGCTATCCACATTCATCGCATCCAACCTCGTCAACACTTCATCAACACTCGGCCTCAACATTGGATCTGCCTGCCAACATTGCTGATACAACGCAACGTATTCCGATGGAGTGCCAAAAATCGGTTGTTGCCTGTAACCTTCATAGACGATTTTTGGCGAAAGTTCAGGAAGGTAGGTTATGTCTGCATCCGGACATAAAATGGTGATTACCCTTGGGAAATGGAATCGCTTTGAAAGATCAATTTTTATCAAATGAAAAATATTTTTACCAACCTTTTTCGAAACCATCCCACATTTCATCGGCAACCTCACTCTTTGTCAAATACTCATTGTAAGGAATTCGCCCAGCTGAAATCTCGTGCATCAATATACCTAGCGCGTAAATATCCGATTCTTTGGTCTGTTGATAATCCGTCATATTAGCTAGGTATCGTGGATCGGTGTAAGGTAGTATCGAAGAGAAGTTGGAGACATTGGATTTTGAGATTCCAAGATCCGAAATCAGGAATTTTTGGTTGTGATATAAAATGTTACGAGAATGCTGTTTGGGAAGGATGTATGAAAAAACTAGTGGTTACCACAAGGCCATCCATAATGTTAATCATGATCCATGCTAACTGCTTTTTCATAGAAGCCGTCACTCACCAAAGCAAGATGGATAATATCATGATCATGTATATACTTCAATCCGCTTGCCAAATCTGTACAAGCACCCAGCTTTTCGCTCCACGTGAGTTCCGCGTGATGTTCACGGAGAAATCTTCGCAAGTTTCCCCCACTGGCATACTGCAATATTAGGAAGTGGTTTAAGGTGCTCGGATCTAAAGGTTGTTTTGCAAGGTGAAAGGAAAGGAAAGGGTCGGAAAGGGTCGGTATGTTAGATGAGGGACTGGATAAGCGAAAAGATGTTTGCCGGAACCTCACCTGTGGTGTATCCAAAGATCCTCAACAAGTTTTGATGATAGCTTAATCGGTACAAAAGGTTTATCTTTCGAGGTAAATGATAATTCGGACATCAGAATTACAACACATACGTAGATATACATGCATGTATGTACATAACTTCAAATTTTAAGATTGCTTACATTTTCCATGACTTCCAAACTCTCCTTGTCCATTTTGCTCTTATCACAATCGAAAACACCCAACGACTCCACCTTTTTCAACGCCACCTCCCTATCCTTTCCGGATTCATCTTTCCAGCTGGCCTTCAGTATTTTGACCTTTTTCTTTCGCTTTTTACTATTATCCTTATTCTTATGTGCAAATATATTTTTTTTAAAAAAATCCGACTTTTTGCGCCTTAACACATTATCGCTGTCCGGAGAAACCATGATATAGTCGTAAATGTCTTTAGTAATGTTGTTGAGAGATTGATAAGCTATGAATTTTGTCTCCTCTGGAAGTGCGTCCTTTATTGACGTTATCGCATGTTGTGATAACGAGTCGTTCATCTGTGCCATTCCCGGTACGTTCTTTAGGGAAAGGGTGGAAAGTCTTATTTTGCTTTCATGATAGTTCCCTTTAATTTCATCCTCATCCTCATTCTCATTGTGACCGTCCTTATTCTCGGTTTCCATATAATCTACATCAAGTATTGAAGACGAGGCAGTTGTGCTCAATCCAGATTCCTCGACGGTTGGGGTATAGTCCGACGGTAAATCTGGGAGGCTCGTAAACGAAAGGTCATTGGAATTCGGAGTAGACATTACTTAAGGATAGAATTGGAATTCGAAGGCGGTTTATTCATGAAATTCTCTTCATTTATCACCTGACGTTTTTTATAAGCGTTATTGGTAAAAAAAAGCGATTACACAAAATTTTCTCTTTCCAAGTTCGCCAAAAAACAAGTAGTAAAGGAAACAGAATTATCTGATGGTGATGATAATTTTTCAAATGAACGGAGACAATGGTCGTGATGAAAAGGAGAAATATGAAAAAAAAAACGGTTAAGAAAGGAAGAAAGGAAGGAAGGAAGTTAAAATTCGTGAAACGAAAAGTTTCAGGAAAACGCTCGACGAGATGCGAATAATATATGATACAATGAATGGCTGACAAAAAAAGAAAACAAAAGAATCGGTAATGAGGTAAATTACACTTTCCCTAAATGGATTTTAAATTTTACACCTCGTATCAAAACTTGCAGTAAGATTTTCAAGGCAGAATACAGTCACGTTACGCAATGCAATGGATATTCTCTCGGAAAATATCTTTCGTGAATACAGTACAACATTCTATAGATTATAGGCTGATTGGGTGGCGTTAGTCGTCTGTGTCCCACTGAATTCTTTGTTACATAATACAGAGATGGACATATTCCTTGGATCAAATGTGAATACAAGATTGTAAATAATGGAATGTGATCCATTAATCTTTAAGAAAAAAAGGAATATTATTAATTTTCGTTATACTGTACCACGGTACTCTCCTTATTATGCGATAAACATAATGGTTCCGACGCAATCCAAGATGATTTCCCAATTGGTTTGTAATATAGCTTAAAATGGGACAAGTAGAGTTCCAAAGACTCGATTCTGGGTTCAATATAAAAAGTTAAATGAATCACAGCCACCTGTTTCCTATTGATGTCCAAGCGTGTGCTCTTCCAATCCTTCGAAATGATAATATTATCATTCTTTAAGGGTTGTACCACGAGAACTGTGATCGCTTTTTTTTTTTTTCAAGATCAGGTCTTCATTCGATCAATTACTATACAATGTGAATTTGGAAATTTTTTTAATTTGAATACATACGAAAAATTTTAATTATCCAATTCTCGTATGCATTAATGCATTACGGGTGAAGATTCTCGTGACTTTCTTTGTTGTTAGCCATGTTTGGTAATTTAAAAAATATCTTCTTGGCAAATCATTCGGTCAGCACATCGAAGACTTGTTATCTCTGACGGGTCGCAAGGCCTCGCTTTGGTCAATTTGAGTAAGTAACCTGATTTTGATGTGACCTTGGCACAAAAATTGTTACCTAAAGAATGTTCAATTGAAAAAAAAAAGAAAAGGGTATAGTGATTCATCATGCACAAGCAAGTGGAGAATGCATCATATGCACACGAAATCAATTGTTGGCGACCAAATGCTCACGAACTCCGAATCAATAATTTCACGTTGGTGATAATACAGTATATTTAATATATTTCACAGAGACGTGTGTACGTAAGTATGTACACAGACACCATTAACCAAGCACCATACACGAAGCTTCCTGAACTCTATCTACAAACTCTAAATGGAAAACAGCGTCAAAATCATGGCGCTATATACTCCCTCCTTAATCGAGAGTACGGGATGTAAAACGCGTATACGCCGTCATGATCGACAAATTAGGATATTGTGAATTGTACTGATTTGGATAAATTACCCTTCACGTCGAATTTTAACCATTTTCTTTCCTTAATATGTATAAATAATTTAATTTTGCCATTATTGTTTTAGTTTTTTTTTTTTTATTGATTGATGAAACATGCTCTGTCATTCTAATATTGACCAATAACAATCACTGTAATTTCGCAAACCACCGCTAACGTAATAATGCAATTCTCTTCCCCATAGAATTATGATTATTTACTTTAAAATTTACCACAGTGACAACCAAATGTCATTAACGCATGAAAATCCAATGGTTAAAATCTACATATTTGTTTACTCGAAAAGATCAATGTTAACCATTGTTAATCAAATGCAAGGTTTTTTTTACGTATTAAAGTAAAAAAAAAACTGTCCATTTTTAAAATAGAACCTATGAGATTCGTTATCTATTCTATTTTATCAAGTTTGTTGACAAGTTCTGTGAAGACAGAATTTTGGAATGGAAATGAGAAGAATAAAATGATAATGTAGATAATAATAATAGAGATGATAGATTGATTCTCGGAATTCTTGGGACAATAAAGTAAAGGCGTATTATTAGCACATTATATTTTTTTTCATATCGATTAACCGAATGCATAGATGAAAATTTCTTAATACATAAACTAGATACAGTAATATGAGGATTCTAATTCGGGAATACTCTTTTCCAGAAGCTTGAACTTGTAAAGAAAACTTTCGAATGCACTTGTACCTTAAATAAAACAATTGCACATAGGATACAAGACTTGTATCCAAAATTAATAAGTTCATAGTCTATTTCCCTTGAGACTAAATATCATGAAATTTTACCAAACGTCTTATTATTTTACCACCACTCAAGTCATCTTACAACCAAAATCTAAAATACACCTTTTTTAAAAAAGATTTTTAAAAAAATTTTAAACATAAATTTTCATGTAAAGTAAAAAACCCTTTTTTTTTTTTCGTGATTCAATTAAATTAAAAAAAAAATTAATTAATTAATTATTTGTTTATTTTTAAATATGCAAATATTTGTGAAAATAACTATTTATCATGATCAAATATCAATTTTTAAAGATAACGATAATGATGATGAATTTAAAATATTCAAGTATTCCGGAAACGATGCTTTCTTATTCAAAGCTACTGTACGTATTGGCATACAGCATGTACAGTACATTCAATTTCAGCGTGTTTCATATTGCTTAGCCTTGGAAAAGTATATAACGCCTTTTCATAAATTCTTAACTTAAATTTTATATTCGTATAGTAATGTCTATTATTTAATTAATCATCATGTATGATATTTATTAATTTTTTTTTTTTTTTTTTAGCATCTTCGCCCATCGCAGGCAACAATACAGGACTATCAAGAGAAGCATCCAATGATCCACCAAGAGTTACACCACGTATTGATCCTCGGTGTTTCAAAAAGAAAAACAAGTATCAAAAAAATATATTTACGGTTTAGGCGTCTTACTCTGAGACCAGATATTTTGGGGGTTAAAGAATTGTTCAGTTCATTAGAAAATAATTATTAGTATTAAAAATTCGATGACATTGTCAATGAAATATATTGAACGAATTATATTAGGAAAGGACTTAGCAGTCCGACTAATTGTATCAACTCGTTTTTTGAAAGCAATCAGACTGCGCAAATCTTTAACTTACCAATAGCCAATTGCCAGGGAACCCCAAAATGCAATGAATCTTGAAATTAGAATTGGAACCACTTAAGGCTACAATGTTGCATCGGAATTGTTAATTGAAATCACTCAAGACCACAAGCAAGTAGTTCAGTGGTACATGAAACAACTGAAGTTTGAAATACCGTCGGACATACAATCTGTTAAAATGGAATCAGAACTACTCGAGACTTCGAGAAAGCATTTGAACGATACTTGAAATTTGTTGAAAATGGATAATATTGTCTTGGGAAACTACTAGAAAGCATTTCGGTACTATTTAATACTGAAGGTGGAAACCATCAGGGAAAAAATAATCTTGTGCATTGTTACGAAAAAAGGAGTTGAAACTACTCAAGACCACGAGCAAGTAGTTCAGTGGTACATGAAATAAACTGAAGGTGGAAATACAGTATCTACGGATAGAGAAATCTTTGGATTTTTTATTAATACAAATGGTTGATGAAGACAAATAATTTTCTTTTTCTTTTTTCTCGTTAACTTTTTTTCATTGCCCCACCCCGATGGAGTAAAGGAAATTCATTTTAAAGATTAAAAGGCAGTATGTAATTTACTAATACTGTATTTGCTATTAGAGTATAAAAAATATCTGGCAGTTGCAATATTTAAAAGCTGCCTACACAACTGAGATGAAAAAAAAAAAGTCATTTTATGTCTCATTTGTAAACCCTAAAATTATTGATAAAATCAATTTTATTTTATTTTATTTTAAGGGCTAAGGTGCGATACATGCGCGGATTGATAAAATTAATTTTATGTAAAATATGGTTATCATATTACTGTATTATTTTTTGATAAACTCCAATTCTTTATTCAAGTATATACAGTATATGAATATACAGTACATTCATAAAAGAATCTATACCTTTTAACAAACTATTTTATCAAAACAATTATTTAAACTATATTAGAAAAAATTTTTAACTAATATATTGTTTAGATAAGACATATAAAATATACAATTTAATAAAAATGTGTTAATATTTATACAAATTACTTTTTATTTTCAACATATAAATTGATTTATCTTAAAAGTAAATTCATATGCTAATTAAAATTTTTAGGGAATAAAAATATTGCTACTAGCTTATTAATAATCTTAACTTAATCTACATTCTGACAGTTGTCATTTAAAGTATATACCTTTTAGGATTAATTAAAATATTTAGATAACCTATTTAATATTTTTTATTCAAGATCTTAAAAAAGATATTACACTACTTGTAGCTTTCATTTGTGATCTAAAAACTATAATCTTCATGTTATAAGAACTTGTATTAACCTATTGTTGATAATTTTTATAAATATTTTTTTAATTGTTTTTAATAATACTATAAATTTGATTAAATTTAAACTACATTACTAGGTTAAGTTTTTTAAAATAAAATATATAAAGTTATATTGTCATTTATTGAAAATTTTTAGTTTGAAAAATAAATTGTTAATTGGATTATACTTGTTAAACTTATATAGACTTACAGGATGATACAAAATTTTTTGCAAAATTTTTTGCAAAATTAAAAATTGTATTATTATTTAATAAATATTAATCTAAAAAATATAAAAAAATTAAATATAAATCTTTAGTATTAATAAACAATCTTAATTAAAATATCAATTAATATTATTATTTAAATATTATATTTTTATTTTTTA